ATATATATATATATTGTATATGGCAAACAAGTAAATTTCACACTGAGAAAAAAAGTCTTATAATATTAATAGCTATCAAATGCACTTTGTTTAGAGTTTAGCAAATTATGGTGCAATATTAAATAAGACTAAACATAATATAAGTAACCAATTGCTATTATCAATTATTTAATAATAATGTCTAAACATTTAAAAAAACATAAATAGAGTATAGTTTGAGTCAGCGCTAACTTTTTTTATATCAACCAAACATTTAATCATAATTATTGTATCAAAGTAATTAGTAATTATCATTTAGATTTGATTTATTATTAGCAAACATTTTTTTCATTGTGTAAAAATTAGCGAAGAATCTATAAATATGCTATTGCTTGAGGGTATATACATTCTTTAATTAATTGCCAACAAGTGAGAACGAGAGTAAGCATAAGCTATGAGTTTCTCTACAAGAAAGCGTAAAGTTGTGTTTAACGTTTAATGCCAAACATCTCTCAAAGTAATTTCGTGCAAACTAGATGAAATTATCTAATAACATAGTATCGGTAGCATACTCACTGCTCCTTGGCGTTTCCGTTGTTCAGCACACTGTTCGACAGAATGAAAAGTAAACTGATAACGATCCTCTGAAATACAAAGTTGAGGTCGTTACACTTAGACTATGCATACATGTATTTTGAATTAATTGGCGATGTTGATTATGATTTCGTTATACTGAAGTATCTATAACATCTCTTGCTGATTTAAATCGCATTTGCAAATCTAATGCACGCACACATAACTTAATGGCATAATACTCAAATAACTAATTATGAGATTCGAAAGGCGTACAGAAGAATTCGAGATATTTTGAAATTTCTCACTTGCATTTTTAAACTGAATTATTCATAATAAAAGTACGTCATATTTGTAACATTTATATATATGACTCCTTAATATTGTGTTCTCACTTTATATTCTTCACTTTATATGTTATTAATGTTATTATTATATTACCATTGTTGAATCGCGTATTCGTCGTAACCGCGATTGTAAACGCGATTGTTGACAGTCAATTACTATTTGATATCTCACTAACAGTGAATCGTCATTTATATGCTATTTTCTTTTCATTGAAGCGAATCTTGTAAAGCGATAATACCATGACGCAGTTCACGGCTGATGATCACTTTCGCTGTATCTTTTCGGTGATATGCTTCATTTGTCGATCCATGACTAATATGACTTTAGAAATTATAGGGTCAGTAAACTATGAAGATAGATGATCTGGCCAAGTTCAATGTCATGGTAAAATTATTTTTGTTTTGTCAGATACTTTACACTATTAAGAAAATATTATATTATTTTTTAATCTTTTCACAAATTTTAGTACACAAGAAATTTTAATTTATTATTACATAACAATTAAGAATTATAATAATATTATTTCATATTTTATTAAAAATATAGCTATATTTATATTTAAACAATTTATATATAAAATTTATATTCTATTATCCAATCACAGCACACAATATTTAAAAAATATCTTTTTAATATTTATTTAATATTTTTACATTAAATAAATTTGTTAAAATTATTTAAAAAAAAAACATTTTTTTTT